TGCCCTTCAGGTCTGGAATTGAACCCACACCTGTGGCTTCCAGCCAAATAGGCATATGAGTTGAACATTTACCTGAGGTAGATACACTCCTTGGAGAGAACAATCATGGGAGAAAGAAGGGCTGCTTATGCACAGGGAGACAGCTCAGGGGACAGGAGTACATGGAGGGATGGACACAGGGAAAAGGTAACCATCAGGAGGAAGTATGAGGGGAGATGTTGCATTGGGGTAAACTGTGGTCAATGTCATGAGACAAAGTGTATGTGAACTGCTGGCAGTCTCAAAGATGGTGGGGGTGCTGGTGAATTTACTCTGTAAATTTTCACCCAAATCACAATTAAAAATAATTTAAAAAAGGACCCTGAAGTCTCCCTGAGATTGGACTTTATTCATTTGGAAGTGAGGAACCTCTGGAGGTTAGGAGTAAGAGAGCAACATATCCCAACAGGGCCAGCAGGGAGACTAGGCTAGAGACCTCATTGGAGGCCATTGTGATGTCTTGATGAGCTATGGTACACAAAGCAGTGGCAAATGGGAATGAAGGGAGGGGACACCTGTGACAGGCACAGTCCTAACTCCTCATGAGCTCTTAGCTCTGATGCAGGCAGTAACCCGCAGGCAATGGGTATGCAGAGAGGGTGAGGGTCAAACCAAGAATGTCAGAGATTAGTGATAGTCCCTACCCCTCACTCAAATCTCCAGCTCAGCTCCACCTGGAGTCCAGTCCCCACCACATCTGGTCCCCATGGACCTTCAAGCAGAGTGGTCAGTGCCAGGTTGGCCTCCTGAGGTCAACCACTAGGCCAGCTCTCTCTGACCTTCAGGCAGGACCCAAAGCATTTAACGCCAGCAGAGGTGGCTAGTGAGCTGGACCCCCAGGGCCCATTCAGAGGGGCAAGAGCAGTCCGCAGAGGGAAGCAAGACCCTATTTTCCTTGGCACTTCACTCTGACTCTATATGAAATGGAGAGAAGGAACTCTTGGCCTCTTTCCTATTCCAGGAATGAAAATAACCAAAAACAAACCCATTGCCATTGAGTCAATTCTGACTCATAGTGACCCTATAGGACAGAGTAGCCCTGCCTCCTAAGGTTTCCAAGGCTATAAATTCTTATGGAAGCAGACTGCCTTATCTTTCACCTCCAGAGTGGCTGGTGGGTTCAAATCGCCAACCGTTTGGTTAGCAGACAAATGCCTTAACAACTGAGACATTTATTTAGCGTTATTGTATGCCAGACACTAAGGAGCCTATTTCATCTGCTCAAATAGCCCTGTGTGATGAGGGAGATGCTGCTGTTTACTCTCATTTCACAGATGAGGAATATGAAGCACAGAGACGTTTAGTTTCTTGTCTAAGGTCGCACAGCACTGTATATATGGTAAATGGCACTCCTACCAACATGACCCAATGCTGCCCCCACAGGCAGAGTCAGGCTACAGCAGTGTTCTTGGCTAGCATCTGTGTTCACCAGAGCTAGCATCTGTGCCAAGTGGAACAGAACTCAGCCTGGCTCCTCCCCTTCAGCCAGGTCCCCAACCCCAAACCCCAGTAACGTATTCCTCCCTTCCTGAGCAGGGGTTCCCCAGGGCTGGGTGTGCCAGAGTTCCCTAGAAACCTGAGCCCTTGCACTTTGGAGGTGTGTACCACCTCTGAGGCTGTGCTAGGTGTAAGGTCTCCGGAACTGCGTGGTTCTAGTCCTGACTCTGACCCTCACATTCCGTGTGACTTGGCCTTCCCCACCCCTCAAGGCTCCAGTTGCCCTCCCTGAGAAGGGGGTGGGTGGACCAGATGACCTCCAGGTCCTTCTAGCGGGGACCCTGGGGGGATCCACAGACAATTGACTCTTTCTTTAGTGAATGGGCCTGGGGAGGGTGGTGACTGGGTATAAAGATATTTCGTCTTTGCTGCTCTAGGGAAATCCCAGCCGGAATTTAGTGTGGAGTCTAGAAGGACCCGCTGCCTGCACGTGGTCTCTGGGTCTCCCTGCCCTGCAGGCCTGAACACACATATGCATGCATGCACATGCTTTCCTCCCAAATCCCACCACCAGACTAAGAGCTGAACAGAAGATGTGTCCCCGTCCACAACCCACTTGAGCCCCCCACCCTCCTGCCTTAAACAAGAACACCCCCTTCTTTGCTCTCTCCATTGTTCCCCCACCCCCACCTGATCTCACCCACCAAGAATGCTGGGGCCCTTGAAGCCACGATGGATGCTGACAACAGGGCCTGGTGTTCTTGGCCTGAGCTGGAACTACCCACTGCCAGGCTCCTCATCCCCTTGCCTTGTACAAGAAGGAACATAGAAGGGCAGTTTGGCGTCATGAATAAAACTGGGAACCCAGAAGCAGGTTTCAGGAGCCCTGTGGACTTTGCCCCATGAGCCGTTTCAGGGACACCTCACTTTCTCCATTGGGAAGACATGGCAGGGGGAGTGGAGTAGCTGTTCTCAGATGTTTTAAGGATGTGGGAAAGACTGCCAGACTTAGCAAGTGAAAATGCAGAACACCTCGTTAAATTTGAAGTTCAGATAGAAAACAAACAAATTTTAGTAAACGTGTATTCCAAATGGAGTCCCTGGGTGGCACAGACAGTTAAGCACTTGATTAGTAGGGTTGGTAGTTCTAACCCACCAAATGCCTCAGAAGACAGGCCTAGCAATCTGGTTCTGAAAAAGCCAGCCATTGTGTTCCATGGGGAGCACAGCTCTACTCCACACACACGCGAACTGCCATGAGCTAGAATCAAGTCAATGGCAACTGATGGCATTGGTTTGTCCCAAATATTGCATGGGACATACTTATACTAAATAATAATAATAATAATAATTCACTGTTGATCTGAAATTCAGGTTTCACTCAGTATTCTTTTTGTCTGGCAACCATAGATCTGGATCAGGTGGATGCCAGTGACTAGGAGGGGAGCAACGCCAGCCTCCTCAACCTCTTCCTGCTCTCCTCAGGACCCTGGTGCCTGATTAGTCTCTTCACATCCTTATTCCTTCCAGGCTCCCTCAGCTGCCCCTCAGCCTCCGCCATGCATTAGCCAGCATCCTCACTTCACTGCCCAAGACACAACCCTCCTCTAAGTTTAGCTAGTTCCCTCTGCCCTGCAAAGCGTGACCTGGATAGGGTGGCAGGAGGTGTGGGGAGAGACTCCAGGCTTGGGGTGCTGGAGCAGTGGGGCCTGGGCAGGAGGGCCTGGAAGCCCCAGTCAGCAATGACCTCAGTGAGGAGGAGGCAGTGTGGGTGCCGCTGAAGAATGCTCTGGCACTCTTTGGACTAGGTTCCCCTTGGCAGAGAGGCAGACTGAGTCCAGGGCCAACTGCAAGCAGAGAAGGGAAACAGTGCCCCCCAACCTCCAATTCCTTCTTCAAGCCTAGAGTCACCAACGTACGGTTTGGGGGCAGCAATTCCACTTGTATCAGAAGACCAGAAGAACTTGTCCTTTAGGGTGGAAAAGGGCTCAGAAACAATGAGAAACAGAGACAGGGAAAGAGAGGGGGAGAGAGAGCAGGAGAGTTAGTGAGAAACTAACACAGACCCAGGAAGAGCCAGGACCAACCCCAAACCAAGGGAAATGTAAACACAGTGAAGAGAGGAAAACAGATGCCTGAGAGAAACAAGTTCACAGAAAGAGAGAGGAGAAACAGGAAGACAGAGGGAAGCAGACACAGAAACTGAGAGACACTGGGTGAAGACAGAGATGCAGAGAAATGTGGAATGACAGAAAGGTTAAGTATAGCATGGGTGGAAAAGAGAGAGAAGGAGGGAGGGAGAGAGGAAAAGAAGCAAGAAAGAGGGCTGTGGTCTCACTTTATAAAGTTGGGGATATTTTGCAGGGGCAAAGTCATACGTGGAAGGAGATCTCTCAGTAGATACTTAACAGCATCAGAACTGAGCCTCTGAGGAGCCCTCCACTTCCCCCAGCCCTGGGAGCAGTCCCCCCGCGCTCCCCCCCCCCCAACAGAGCATCCCATTTCGTCCCTCTCCCCAGACGTCCGGGTTCCATCTCTCATCTATGGCCGGGTCTCGTCTGTGTCAGGAGTGTCTAGCTCTCGCCCTGCGCCTATAACGCACCTAGACGGCCTCCCTCGGCACTTGTCAGCCAGCTTCCCAGGGCAGGAGCTCGCGGAGACCCAGTCCCCGGTCCCAGCCGCTGCACCTTCTCACTCCAGGGAGAGTCCCGATTGAGCGATGCTGCCCTCTGCCGGCAGCTTCCAGTAAGCAGCCTGAGCCTCGAGGGATGGGGCGCGGCGGCCGCCGCTGGGCCGAAATCCAGCCCTTCCCCGTAGGGACCGCCTTCGCGGGGTCTTTCCAGGAATGCGGATGGGCCTGCTCGCCGCCGGCCTCCCAGCTCGCCCCGCAGCCTTAATTTACCCCCCAGTCAAACGGAGGAAGTGTATCCCTGCCTCCTTTTAGGATTTCGGGTGAGGTGGGCTAGGATATGAATGTCCCAATGGTGTGTCCTTCTTCCCCAGATCTGGAAATCTCAGCACAACCTGAAATCAGCCAGGCCACCCTCTCCCTTCCTTCTTGGTCAGAAAAACAATGGATGAAATCCTCAATACACCCCCTCACAATACTCCCAGGGTCTAGGCCTCCTTTCTCCCCCCACCTCTGCCCCTCTTAGAAGTCCAGGTAAGAAGGGACGCCTGGTGGTCTGGCTTCCTCTGCCAGTAACCCCCTACCATCCCTCGCCAGGCGCCAAACCCCTCCCTAAATCTGGGACCATTTAATGGGAGGAGTTGAGAGTTAGAGTTAGAGCCCAGCTAAAATTTTAAACTAAATCCACAATTTTATCAATTAATCTCTGGTAACTCCCAAGACCCCTCCTCCCTGCACTTCCTCACAGCTATGCAAATCCAGCCTAATCTGGGTGCAAAGCTCCGCCCTCATCCCCGAGGCGGGGCTCCATAGGTGGAGAGAAGTGGGAGAGGTCGTGGCCCCGCCTCTTCTTTTCTTCCCCTACACACTAAAGCTTGGTGGCCCGAATGTCAGCATGTCGGAACTCGGGGTCCCATTCCTCCCACCCGTCTTGCTGCTCAATCTCCTGGCCGGCTTCCAACAGGTGAGGGCTCGGAGGGTAAGATTGTTGAGTTTTTCAGGGGCTTGCTGCTGGAGCTGTCACCTCCTTCCATTGTCAGGATTTCCTCTTGGCCACACGCAGTTAGTAACTTCTTTTCCCTTCAGCCATAGAGGTGGAGGCAGCAGAGGGAGGCCCTGAGAAGGTCTGGGTCCCTTCCACCTTAGGAAGATTGGGAAGTCTCATCTGGCTCCCGCCCACCACCCATCTGGGTGGTTGGGGACTTTGACCGCCTTGTTAGTGTTGCCTTGTCCTTCCTGCTCCTTTTCTCCCTGTGTTAGAAAGGGGGGCCTGGGGTCTGAAGGTCTCTGCCAGCCAGTTTCCCCACCTCTCTTTTCTTCCAGTGCTGGGTGACCTTGGAGGAAGTCCCAGCCCTCTCTGTAAACTTGTTTCTCCTCTTGTGCCCTAGGGGGGAGGTGCCTCCCTTGTCCTTTTCTTTGAGTGGATGTTAGATTCCAGCCTGGGGTGGGATTTAATCTGGCTGCTTGACCCAAAGGCTTTGGTGACCTGGAAATCAGCTTCTGGCAGCTAGGCGAGGTTTGGGCACTCCCTCCTCACCAGGCCTTGTTCCACACATAAAAAATCAAAAAGTGATGGGGGATATCTGGCCAGTCCTGGGATGGGAGATGATCCTGGAAACAGGATAAGTCTAGAACATGGATTTTTTTTTTTTCCCAGATTTCTGCCTGTAATCTAGAACATTGATTTTTAACTTACTTATGTTTAAGAATCTTAAGGCCTGGCCCCTCCCAAGAGCAGGGGTTCTGACCCCCAAAGTCCACCTGTGAACCAGGTTACCATCTTCCACTCTAAACCAAAAAAAAGTAAAGCCATTGCTGTTGAGTTAATTCAGACCCTTAGTGACCCTACAAGACAGAGCTGCCCTGTAGAGTTTCCAGGATTGGACCAGGCAGTGTTTCGTTCTGTTGTACATAGGGTCGCTATGAGTCGGAGCTGACTGAACAGTACCTAACAGCCACAATCTTTACGGAAGCCAACTGCCTTTATCTTTTTCCTGCAGAGCGACTGGTGGGTTTGAACTACTGACATTTTGGCTAGCAGCTTAACCTCTGCACCACCGGAGTTCCTCCTTCCACTTTAGAAAGTTTAATCTTTGGGTGGCCAGTCCCAGATGGTAAACAGAGCATCCTTTGGTTAATTCCTCCCAACAATCCTAGCAGGCTAGGTGTTGGAGATGCTGCCCTTCCCTGTTAGTAAGCTGAAGTTGCCCAAGATTACCCTGATACTTGATAAAATTCAAGCTCTGTGTCACTCCGGACAAGACCTGACTGAACCGATTGCCATCACGTCAGTTCCGACTCATGGTGACCCCAGAGTAGAACTGTGCTCCATAGGGTTTCCAGTGGCTGCTTTTTCAGAAGCAGATCGTGAGGTTTTTCTTCCAAGGCCCCTCTGAGTGGGTTTAAACTCCCAGCCTTTCAGTTACTAGCCCAGAACTCCATCATTTTTACCACCCAAGGACTCCTCAGAGGAGACCATCCCCTGGTTAAAATTCGGGGAGAATCTGGAAGAATATCACCTCCCCCAACCTCAATAGGAACTTGAACTTACTTATTAAACCTGTTCATTACTAGTCACCTTTTAGTTGAGGGCCAAGAAGGGAAAGGGATGGAGTCTGGGATCTGAAGGTGGGTGCTTCTGAGTATCTGTGCCCCTCGGTTTGTCCCCAGCTCTGCAGTCACCTCTGTGTGCTTTGTGACTTGGAAAACTCTTACCCTCTGCGGACCAAACTTGGAAGGTTCATTCCTGCTGTTACCATCTCTACCAGCCAAGCCTTGTGAGAAGGAAGCACTTAACTTGTGACTGTGCATGGAAAGGGGAATCACCCCAACTTTTTTTTAAAACTTTTTATTGTAGTTTGGGTAAAAGTTTACAGAGTGAATTAATTTTCCATTCAACAATTTATATACATTTTGTTTTGTGACATTGGTTGCAATCCCCTCAATGTAACAGTGCCCTTCCCACTTCCCCCCTGGGGTCCCCATTTCTCTGCATCCTTCTTTCCTGCTCCTACTTGCCTTCTGAGCTTTGCCCTTGGGCAAATGCTGCCCCTTTGGACTTGTATGGTTGACTGTACCAGGAGCACGTTCCTCCCTAGTGTTACTATTCACATTACAGGCCTATCTATCATTTAACTGAAAGTTGATCCCTCGACCGTGGGTTCACTTCTAGGCTTAGAGGGTATCTAAGGACCACAGTCTCGAGGATTCCATCAGTTTCTATCTGACCAGTAATAAGTGTGGTCTTTTTTATGATTTTGAATTTTGTTCTACATTTTTTTTTCTCCCTCTGTCTCCAGAACCTTCTGTTGTGATTCTGATCAGAGGTGTCGGTAGTGGTAGCCATGCATCATCTAGTTCTTCTGGTCTCAGGCTACTAGAGACTGTGTTTTGTGTGGTCCATTAGTCTTTTGGACTAATTGTTTCCTTGAGTCTTGGGTTTTCTTCACTCTTCTTTGCTCTGGACAGGGAGAGACCACGGGTTGCATCTTAGATGGCCACTTGCAAATTTTTAAGATTGCAGTCACTACTCACCAAAGTAGGATGTAGAACATTGTCTCTGTGGACTGTGTTATGCCAATTGACCTAGATGTCCCCCAAGACTGTGATCCTAAGTCCCCAAGCCTGGTGACTCATTCCCTCAAGGTGTTTGATTATGACTAAGAAGTTTTCAGAACTTTGCCCCCTGTATGCTCTGTAATATCCCTGCCAGCATATACAAATATAAGTATCCTCTGCCAAACCTTATATACTCAGGGGTGTACACTCTCACTTGCCTTCCCACATCTGTTCCTTTTGCATGTCTACCTATATATCCACTCATAGATACTCTTTATTATTACTGCTATTGCAGGATTGTGTATGTAATAGCTTTTACCTTTGTTGTCTTTTACTTTTATGCACCTTCCATGTCTTCCTTTGCCACCGATCATGTTGTACTGGCCTCCCTCTTATTGTATATTGCCTTTTCCTTCGGCCAAGTTAATACGTGATTTACCCTCCCTTCCCCTCTCATCCCTGGTAACCATCAAGGAATGTTTTCTTTCTGAGTGTAAACCTTTTCTTGATTTTTTTATAATTGTGGTCTCGTCTACTATTTATCCTTGTGTGATTGGATTATTTCACTCAGCATGATGTCATCCAGGTTAGCCAAGTTATGAGTTGTGCTGCAGATTCTTTAGTATTCTTTAACGTTATGTAATATTCCATTGTGTGTATGTACCAAACCGTAGTTTGTTTATCCATTCCTCCAATGATGGGCACTTAGGTTGTTTCCAGGAACTCTGGTGGCATAGTGGTTAAAGCATTCACCTGCTAACCAAAAGGCTAGTGGTTTGAACCCATCAGCCGCTCCATGGGCAAAAGATGAGGCAGTCTGCTTCTGTAAAGATTTATGGCCCTGAAAACCCTATGAGGCAGTTCTACTATGTCCTATAGGGTCAAACGTGTGAATACTGCAGTGAACATGGGTGTATATATCTATTTGTTCATCTCTCCACACCCTCACCAGCATTTTGTTATTTTTGGGTTTTGACTTTGCTATTAATTTTGGGAAGGAGCTCTGATGGCACAGTGTGTAAGGCATTTGGCTGCTAACCAGAATGTCAGGGGTTCAATGCCTCAGCTGCTCCGTGGGAGGAAGATGAGGCAACCTGCTTCTTACAGCATTAGAAACCCAGTGGGAGTTGCTGTAAGTCAGAATTGACTTGATGGCAGTGGGTTTCATTTTTATTATTAATACTGGGATGAGACGATATCTCGTTGTTTTGATTTGCATCTCTAATGGTTAATGATGGTGAGCATTTCTTCATGTGTTTGTTGGTCACCTGGATGTCCTCTTTGGTGAAGTGTTTGTTCATGTCCTCTGCCCATATTTTAATTGGATTGTTTGTCTTTTTGTTGTTGAGGAGTTGAATTTTTCTATAAATCTCAGAGATTAGTCCATTGTCAGATATGTCATTGTCAAAATATTTTTCCCTAGACTGTAGGTTCTCTTTTACTCTTTTGGAGAGGTCTTTTGATGTGCCTAAATATTTAATTTTTAGGAGGTCCCAATAGTTTAGTTTATCTTTTGCTGTTTGTGCATTTTTAGCTATGTTTGATAGTCGATGCCATAAATTAGAGCGCCCAAATTTGCCCTTGTTTTTTCTTTAATGATCTTTATAGTTTATGTCTTACGCTTAGGTCTTTGATCCATCTTGAGTTAGTTTTTGTTTATGGGGTGAAGTGTGGATCCTGTTTCATTTTTCCGCCAGTGGTTATTCAGTTTTGCCAGTGCCATCTGTTAAAGAGATTATCTCTTCCTCCCGTTTAATGGATTTTGGCCCTTTGTCAAAGATCAGCTATCCATAGCTGAGTGGGTTTACTTCTGTGTTCTCAATTCTGTTCCATAGATCTATGTATCTGTCACTGTGCTAGTATCAGGCTGTTTTGACTACCATGGTTGTATAATAAGTTTTGTGGTCAGGAAACATGAGGCCTCCTACTTTGTTCTTCTTCTATAGTAGTGCTTTACTTATCTCATTCCTTTCCATATAAAGTTGATGGTTAGCTTTCCTGTCTCTTTAAAGATTGGTGATGGAATCTGGAGTGGCATTGCATTATACCTTTAGATTGCTTTGGGTACATTTTCATAATGTTAAATCTTCCTATCCATGAGCATGGTATGTTCTTCCATTTCTGTAGGTGTCTTTTGGTTTCTTGTAGTATTGTCTTGTAGTTTTCTTTGTATAAGTCTTTTGTGTCCCTGGTTAGGTTCATTCCTAAGTTCATCTTTTGGTGGTTAATGTAAACAGTGTTGTTTTCTTGATTTTCTTTTCAGAGTTCTTTTTGTTAATATAGAAGAATCCACCTGTTTTTGTATGTTGACCTTGCACCCTGCCACTTTGCTATATTAGTTCCAGTAGTTTTCTTGTTGAGTCTTTGGGATTTTCAGTGTATAGGAGTATATCATCTGCAAATAGAGACAGTTTTACTTGTTCCTTAGCAATTTGGATGTCTTTTATTTCCCCTTTTTACCTTATTGCTCTAGCTGGGACTTCTAATACAGTGTTGAATAGGAATTCATCCCAATTATCATTGGTATTCTTTAAGCTGTCATTGTTGTTGTTATTTGCTGACCGACTCATAGTGACCCGTCCTTGGGTTTCCAGGCAGTATCACTATGGAAGTAGATTGCCCTATCTTCCTTCCAAGGAGTGGCTGGTGGGTTTGAACCGCCAGCCTTCTGGTTAGCAGTCAAGTGCCTTAGGCACTATGCTACCAGAGCTCCCAATTAGTACTCTTTAACTTTAATGGTATTCTTAACTTTAGTGGAAGGAGCTCTGGTTAAAGCATTTGGCTGCTAACCAGAAGGTAGGCAGTTCAAATCCACCAGCTTCTCTACAGGAGAAAGATAAGGTAGTCTTTTTCCATAATGATTTAAACCAAACTCACTGCCATTGAGGAGCTCTGGTAGCTTAGTGCCTAAGGCACTTGACTGCTAACCAGAAGGCTGGCGGTTTAAAACCATCAGCCACTCCTCAGAAGGAAGATGGGGCAATCTACTTCCATAGTGATACTGCCTGGGAAACCCAAGGAGGGGTCACTGTGAGTCAGTGAGTAGGGTCAAGGCACATAACAACAACAACAACACTGCCATTGAGTCATCCGACTCATAGCAACCCCTCCCTGGGTTTCCAAGGTGATATCTCTATGGAAATAGATAGCCCAATCTTCCTTCCAATGAGTGGCTGGTGGGTTTGAACCACCAACTTTCTGGTTAGCAGTCAAATGCCTTAGGCACTACACCAACAAAGCTCCCCCATAATGATTTACAGCCTTGGAAACCCTATGGGGCAGTTACATTCTGTCCCACAGGGTTGCTAAGACTCTGAATCAACTAGATAGCAGTAGGTTTGCTTTTTTGTTGTTGTTGTTTTTTGGTAACTTTAGTGATACTCTTAACTTTAATTATCAATGAATGTTCTTTCATTGTTCTGTAAGTATTTATTTATTGAGTCTTGGGTATTTAACAGTGATATAACAGACAAAAAGTCTTGCCCTGGTGGAGTTTACATTCTATTGGGAAAGCAGACAATTAACAACATAAGGTAAAATATTTAATAGCTAGAAGGAGCTCTGGTAGCGTAGTGCCTAAGGCACTTGACTGCTAACCAGAAGGCTGGCGGTTCAAACCCACCAGCCACTCCTCGGAAGGAAGATTGGGCAACCTACTTCCTTAGTGATACCTCCTCGGAAACCCAAGGACCCAAGGAGGGGTCGCTATGAGTTCAACAGATGATGATAAGAGGTATGGAGAAACATAAAGCACAATAAGGGAGGGGAGTGTTGTCATTTTAAATAGGGTGGTCTGAGAAAGGGATACAGGAACCAGCCTTGCCTCCATACCCGGGAGAAAAATGCTCCAAGCAGAGGTCCTTACACAAAATGGCTGTTAATTGAGTTAAATGCTGTAAAGATGCCCTGCAGAGATGGTACATAAGAGGATGGAAAGGAGGGAGGAGCTGGTTCTGGAGAGGAGGGTCTGGTAATTTGACAGAGTAAGGAGCCCCCAGGCAGGGATCGGAAGGGATTCAGCAGACTGGAAGGCCTTGGAAGAGGGCCTACCTATGCACACAGGTGTGAAACAGCAAGGTGTGTTCAGGTAACTTGCAGTGGGTATGTGTATAAGAGGGTAAGTCAGGGAAACAATCAAAATGTCCATCAACAGAAGAATGGATAAGCTAAATGTGGTATATACATATATAATGGACTACTACTCAGCTATAGAGAAACGAAGTCCTGATGTATGCCATATATGAATGATCCTTGCAAACATCATGCTGAGTAAAATAAGTCAGTTGCAAAAGGATGCATGTTGTATGATCTCACTTCTAGGAAATAAGCAAATATATAGAAGTCAAAGGTTACCAGGGATGGCAGGGAGGGCAGAAAGAGGAGTTCATGCTTTTTTGTTGTTTTTAGTTGCATTCAGGTCTATTTGGACTCATGGTGACCCCATGTGTATGCTAATGGTAGAACGATTTGGACAAAGACAGCGAGAATGGGTGCACAACTTGAAGCATGTAATCAGTGTCACTGAATTAATTGTCCATGTGGACATTTTTGAGATGTCATGTTTTGCTGTGTAATTTTTCATAACAATAAAAAATTGCTTTAAATAAAATATAAAATTAAAGAGAGTGGGGACAGAGGTAAGAGAATGGGAGGAGTCTGATCTCACAGATCTGTAGGACAGTAAGGGAGGTACAAGCTGGGAAAGAGGAGTCAGGGAGGCCAATGTGAGGAACCAGGTTTATTTATGCTACTCAGTTCCCAGAGGTGCTCAGCCCGCCTTGCAGGGCCACATGGGAGCACAGCAGTTTGTGGGGCAACCACAGGAGGAAGAGGAAGAGATCAACTATGCGCAGGTGCCTTTACTGGGGTTTCCGGGTGGGGTTAAGTGCTTGGCTGTGCCTGTCTGTGGTAGGCGGGCCAACCTTTTAAAAGTCTGTGCCTACCTTTTAAAAGTTTGGCATGAGTTCCCAAGAGAGTTATCAAATGGGACCAAATGATGCATCAGAGGGGAGGTACCAGAAACATAGAGCAAAGGCCAGCTGTGTGTGAGGAGCTCTACAGGCCTGAGCTCAGTATGTTGGAGCATCAAAGAATGATTTAAATTATTTGGGAATTTGGGACGGGCAGTGTACCAAAAGTGAGTTATCAACATGGCAGCATTGAGGAAGAAGGAGACATAGACAGGTCCATAGGAGGTACAGACAACAAAGATGAGCCCTTTTGCACGTGCAGTCCTGTGTTGTCACTGATGGCAAGCACTGATCTACGAGTGGATAGAAAGGTGGACAGGCTGAATGATCAGATATGTCTAGACAGGAGCGGGGGAATGTGCCCATGACCCTGTATAGCACTGGTAGGTGATATTTCTATAAGCGTGTTTATATGTGTTCTAAGAATGTCCAGCTATATAGTAGAGCTAGCAAAGGACAAGGTTGTGGTTTCTTGGCCACAGCCAGCTACCCTGAGGGACTGAGTAGTTGGACCTGCAGGCTCTGGACCATGATCACAGAGGACATCAAGCTCAACTGGTATAACATACTACACAAAAAACATTTTTTCTACAACCTACTTTGGTGAGTAGTAACAGAGGCCTTAAAAGCTTGCAAGCAGCCTCTAGATACAACAATGGGTCTTTCCTCATCCAGAGCAAAGAAGAATGAAGAAAAGCAAAGACACATGGAAACAATTAGTCCAAGGGACTAGTAGACCATGTGATCCTCAGTCTAGATGATCACAAGGCCAGAAGAACTAGATGGTGCCCTGCTACCAACGTCAACCATTTGGAGAGGAATCAGTGCAAGAGATCCTGCGTAGAGTGGGAGAACAATGTGGAACAAAACTCAAAATCATTAAAAAAAAAAAAAAGGTTTGCTGGTCTGATAGAGCCTGTTAAGACCCCTGAGACTATGGCCCCTAGTTACCCTTCAGGTCTGGAATGAACTCACTCTTGTTCAGGAGAGGCATATGGGGTGAACAGTTACATCAGGTAGATACACTCCTTGGAACAATTAATCGTGGGAAGAGCAGTGGTTGTACAGGGAGATGGGGGCGGAGTGCACAGGAGAGAAGGACACAGGGAGGAGGTAACTCAGGGAGGAAGTGGGAAGAGAGCTGTTACATTGTGGAGAGTTGCAGTCAATGTAGTGAAACAAAATGTGTATGAACTGCTGTATGGAAAATGAATTTGCTCTGTAAACTCCCACCCAAATCACAATAAATATTTTTTAAAAAAAGAGAATGATTTAAATTCTTATGCAGTAACTAAGGCTGTTGCAAGGAGCCCTGGTGGCTCAGTAGTTAAGCACTTGGTTGCTAACTGAAAGGACCCAGGTTCGAACCTACCAGCCACTCTGCAGCAGAAAGATGTGGTAGTCTGCTTCATTAAGATTTACAGCCTAGGAAACCCTATGGGGCAGTTCTACTCTGCATGGTCTCTATGCATCTGAATCAACTCAGCAGCAATGGGAAAGGGGTCTGGGCATCTGCAGCCAAGGAGTCACTGCAAGGGATTTTCAGTAAGGTTGTGAGGTGGTCAGATTTGCATTATAGGAAGAAGCCTCTTGCCCAGTGTCAGGAGTGTTTTGGGGTGGGGTGAGGAGAGCTGTTGGTGTCCCAGACCACAGGCATGGAAAGGAAAAGATGAATGGGAAGACTGGGGATGAAATAATGTGGTGTATGGGGTGGGAGTGAGGAGAGGAAGGAGATCTGGGGGCCACATGTCACCTCAGGGCCATCTGCACAAAGTCTGTGGCTGCAGTCATCATCCTGGGGAACACAGTTCAATGAGCAATGGGACCAGCTTGTTGCAAGGTACCTGTGCAACATCTGGGTGGAGACCCTGACCCCCAACCTCTGCCTCTTTTCTTCCACAGGCTGCAGCCAAATGTGGTTTCTTCTTGTAAGTCTGCAATCTGGGCTTCAATTTCCAATCTGGGGAGGGGAAAGAGGGCAGCCCAAATCACACCCTCCCTGCCTTGGTGGGAGTTGGGAGACACCTTCTCCATCATCCTCACTCACTCCCATTCCAGCCAGAAACCCTGTTTCCCCCACCTACACCCCACCCTCACCCCCTGGAAGAGATTCTACCCCATCCCGCCTTCCACCAACCAACCCAGGGCCAGGGAGAGCTTCACACTTGTGAGCATTTCTGAAGCCAAATCCCACATGGTCTCAGGTCACTTCCTCTCTGAGGGTCCCCTTGGTGGGGAGAGCCAACAGTCTATCCTGACTCTGATAGAGAACTGCCAAGAAGCCAGTACCTGAGTCCTCAGTTTGTCCCCTGTGTGCTATGGGACTCTGGTGGAAGGGAGTTATTTCTGGGCAGAAGAGTATGTTCATGAAGTCGGTACTGGTGTTCTCAAACATTCTCTCCCTGTCCACCTCTTCCTCCATGAGCACCTGCAAGCTTGCTCCTGGGCCTTCCACACTGCCCTGCCTCCCTACGACTCCTAACAGTCAAATGAGTGATGCTGTCCTCGAAAGTACTTAGCCCCCACATCTGTCCAGTGAGGTCAATAGGACATTGATTATACCCATTTTATAGAAAGACCTAGTAAAAGCAGTAACTTGTCCAAGTGCACAAGGCCAGTGATGGCATGAGCCTGAGTCCTGGTTCCAGGTTCTTCCCACTTAGCTCAGAGAGCCCCAGCCCCTCCCTGTGACTAGGGACTTAGCTTATGTTCTGAGAGTATGGGTACACTTTGAAGAGGCCAGGATCCTTCTGCCACTCCACCTTGGTGCCAGTAGCCCCTCTTTGCCTTCCCCCCAGCACCTGCCCTGAAGGATTCAAATGCTGCGGTGATAGCTGTTGCCAAGAATATGAAATTTTCTCCAATCCCTTGAGGTGAGCCCAGGACCAGCTCCTCTGGGCCCAGTCCACAAGTCCACCGAGATGGCTGGATTTGCTGCCAAGGGGGTGGGTGCTGGTGGAGAGAGGGAGGGAGGTGTGGCAGGGATGGCCCAGGGAGCTGGGTGATGGTGATAGTTCCCCACCCCAGGATCTTCAGCATCATCTTCCTGGTGTTCCTGCTCTTCTTGTTCATCTGTGGCCTGGCCAAGCACTTCTGTGGACACTGCAGAAAGTTAGAACGGGGCCCTCCGGCGGAGCACCAGGGGCCCCCACCACTGCCCTCCAGCGTCGCCCCAGAGCGGGCCAGGGCATTCACCTCTGAGCCTCCGCCCTCCTACAATGAGGTGGGTGTCTCTTTCCCCATCCCCTGTATGCTCCCACCTAGTGTGCATATTTTCAGAGGAGCAGGGCAGGGCCTTACCTCAGGCCTTCAGACCCTGGGAGGGCTCTGCGCCCAGCATTGGGTCACCCTCTTCCTGGTAAACATACCAGAGCTGACATGGGTGGTGTGGTCAGTGCTTGGCCCTAAAAAGATTCTGAGGCCCCTCTTTTCCCTGCAGATTATTCGGATGCCTGCTGTAGACCTGCCCCCCACGGAGCCACCCCCTCCCTACAGCTTCAGGCCTGAAGAACATCCTGGGGTCCGGAGAGGCATTGACAACCCAGCCTTCTGAGCTGCCTCCTCTCCAGTGCCTCCTGGGGCCAGGCCAAAGACTCCTGGGACCCGTGCAATGCCCAGAGCCCATTCTGCCATGTCTCTGCTCATTCTTGGACTTAACTTATTGCTTTTTCTGCCTCTGTTCCACCCCCAACTGCCTGTCTTATCCCCAAGGCTGGACATGCATGGCAATGTCCTGTTCTACACCCCAGGCGGAGGCTGCCAGGAGGAAAATGCCAACAGTTGGAGGTGCCCTACAGTGGAAAGGGCATCCTGAAGGGTAGAGAGAGCCCACTGCTGGAGGTACATGATCTCGACAGAACACCCAGCCCTGAGATGTTCTATAGGGCACTTTGACTTGTGGGAGATTGTCCTGGATGAACTCTGAGTCACCTTCCAACTCTACTTGGATGGAGAAGACCTCATTGTACTTGCCTTCATGGGTGCACAAAACCCACACTAAACATCACCTGATTGTTACTTAGAGTCTGCCTCTGTCTATGTTGGGTGGTGTGCAGGGAAGTGAGTCCAGGCCCTGCCATGAGGGTGTGAGGAGGGGGCTGTCACACCCCAAATCTCATCACTGATAAGCTCTGGAGGGTCGCTTTGACAGTATCTCTGGAGGACTGTACAGTCAAAGGCCCCTCTCAGGAAGAAGGGCTTTACATTAGTCTTGACCTTCCTTGAGTGCTAAAGAGCCTGAAAATAGATGGGCATAAAATGTCTATGGGTGTCTCACCCCATCTTCCCACTGTCTTCCCTGGGAGACCTGGGGCTCGACTCTCAGATTCTCTTATGAGTTGCATGAGAAGTTGTGGGGAGCCAAAAAATGGTAGAGGGGCAAAGACTGGGAAGAACCTGCTGCAGGAGGTGGGAGTGGGGAGGAGGCCAAGGTGAGGAAGTGGGTAGGGTGGTTATGTCAGAATAGGGCCTCTGGAGACCTTGCCCAGGCTGACCTGGAATCTCCTGGAGGAAGGGAAGGAGATGGCAGATCCTGTGCTTCTCATCCAGGACCGAGAAGGTCTGGGGCACTGCCACTTTGGACCCCGGTAGGAGTTAACCCTGAAGAGGAAAGGAACATATACCAGTGCAGCTCAGCAGGATCCCTTCTGGGCATTCGCCCCCTGGGCCAGTATCTGCCCCCATGCCTGCTCAGAACCCAGGGCCTGAGCGGGGCCAAGCTTGGGGTCACACTTAGTTGGGCTCCTCCACTAAGAGTCTGCCTTTTCCTTGCTCCTACAGCCTCGTGGTACCAGCCTGTTCTCCAGGTAGAGAGCACAGCAATCATGCTGGCCAAAGTTCCCAGGAGGGTAGGAGGTAGAATTGCCCTGCCTCCTCCAGTGCTCTCCCAGTAACATCCATCCTTGGGGCATCAGGGTCCAGGCAAATGTCAAGGCCAGGTGTGGGATGATGCTATAGCCAACCCAGAGATACCAGGAGAGTGGCTTTCCCGGTAGAGCTTCCTGATGGACACAGAACCCAGAGGGGGGAAGTGGAAAGGGGCATGCATGGGAATGCCACTCCTGTGTCTCCCACAGCCCAGAAGGCCTAGGTGCTCCCCTTGGGCTCAGCCTGGCTCCCACTTCAGGGCAGGGTTAGAGCTGGGCACAAATGGTTGTCAGTACAGTGGGTGTCCACCACTGAGATCACCATAGGCATGAGATTACACATCCCCGACCCACCTCCAGGTTCTTCTGATGCCCTGCTGCCTTCTGAAGGCAGGATGCCCCTTATCCAGGCTCAGAGAAGGGGATGCTCTCAGTACCTAAGGGGGCTGTACCCCTATTAGTATGGGAGATGTTCAGAAGCTAGGGCGTGGGGGACACCTGAGTCACAAGAGGATCCCCTCCTCTTCCCAGTGGTACAGCTTTATCAATCTCCCAAAGCCCTGAGTAGCATTTCCTGCCCAATGCCTTCCTTTTGAGGAATTCCACTTGGAGAACCCTCATGCTACAAGAGGTCAGGGCCCTGCTCAGATTTCTCTGCGTTAGAAGGATTCTTCTCTCCAGGGCAGAGTTTTGGCTCTCATGCAATACATGTAGCAGTGGTGAGTGGATTGGGTCTACCTTTGACTGTGTCCACTCTGCCAGGCTAAGGGCAGCCAAGAGTAGTATGAAATTGGAGGTGGGCCAGCCCAAGGAGTATCCTCTTCCAAGGGCCAGGAAGTGCCATAGGCAAGGGGCCAAAATCACAGTTGCCCACTTGCCTGGCTGCCCATGGTGGAGTCTGCCCTGGTAGCCATAGTATCTGGGGGAAACGAGCCATGGGGGTTGCCACCATCCCAAAGATAAAGAAATAAATGGACCTGAGGCCCAATATAGGGGTTTCCTGAATCCAGATCTCCCTCACCTGAGAGCAGGGCTATGCCGGAGGAACATTTTGAGGTGCTGGTCCAGTGCTTGTCATAAGAGAGATAGTCAAGAAAAGTGAGAAGGTATGGGGAGGAAGTAGGGGAACTGTTGCATTGTGGTAAATTGTAGTCAGTGTCATAAGACAAAGTGTATGTGAGCTGCTGTATGGAAAGTGAATTTGCTCTGTAAACTTTCACCCAAATCATAATTTAAAAAAAAAAAAAAATTAACAGTTACCATCCAAAATAAAAAGGAAAAGTGAGAAGGGTAGGTGGATGGATGGACGGATGGATGGAAGGATTGGTGATTAAATGGAAAGGAGGGAGGAGGATTGATTGATGACTGGTAAGATGGGTGACTGAGTCAATGAAATATTTTATACTATTTTGCAATTGTAAGTGGGTAAATACATGGAGTCCCTGGGTGGTACTAGTTAAGTGCCCAGCTATGAACTGAAAGCTTGGTGGGCCAAACCCACCCAGCGGTGCTTCAAAAGAAAGGGCTGGTCGTATCTTTCCAAAAGCTCACAGCCATGAATACCTCCAGAGCTCAGTTCTACTCTGCACACGTGGGGTCACCGCGAATCAGAATTGACTCGATAGCAACTGGCTTGTTTTTAAATACACAAAAGCACTTTGGCAGGAAATTCACCTCCATGGTACATGCTATCAGATAATAAGATTCTACAAGATATGCTGGAATATGCCCAATAGACAGGCATAAGTAGAGGTTTTCCCTTCTATTTCAGGGACTGATGGGGACAACAACCTGGAGTGACTGCTGCCCTCACAGGGTGAATACTCACCTTGCAGGAGGATGGTGAGTGGCGGGCTTTGCAGACCTGGACGTTGCCTTTCTTTCCTCAGAGAGAACGTGTTAGTTAGGTGCCTTTGAGTCAATTTTGACTCATAGTGACCCTATAGGACAGAGCAGAATTGCCCCACAGGGTTGTTTTCTAGTCTGTAATCTTTACAGGAACTAAACCCATTGCAGTCACATCAATTCTAACTCAAAGTGACCCAAAGGTCAGCAGTTCAAAGTCACCTTCCACTCTGTGAGAGAAAGATGTGACAGTCTGCTCTTGTAAAGATTACAGACTTGGAAACACTATGGGGCAGTCCTACTCTGGAATTGACTGGATGACAATGGGTTTGGTTTTTTGGTTTAATCTTTATGGGAGCAGATCATCAGTCTTCCTTCTACAGAGTGGTGTGAACCGACACCTCCAGCACTTAACCACTATACCACCAGGACTCCTTCAGAGATGACATAAAAAAATAAAACCCAATGTGTTAAGTTGATTCCAACTCATAGTGACCCTGTAGGACACAGTAGAACCGCTCATAGAATTTCCAAGGCTGTAAATCTTTACAGAGGCAGACTGCCATATCTTTCCCCCATGGAGCCGCTGGTAGATTTGAATCATTAATCTTCAGACCTTTAAATCCTCCTCCCTTGCAACAGCAGAGGGGCTGGAGGAAAGTGGTCATTCTGAAGCCCAGTTTACTGGGACAACATTTGCTGGTTCTATGGCTCTCCTGTCTGCTATTGGTGGGAGTAGAAATGGCGTGATCTTCCTGGAGGGCAATCTGGCAGTACCCATTCATGCCACAGATATATACAAAGTTCCTACTACATGGCAGGCCTTATGCCTGGCTCTGGGTATCCATTAAAATGTAAAATGCACGTGACTCAGCAATTCCACTTCTAGAAATGGTCCTTCAGAAATGCTCACACACTTGCTCAAGGACATGTCCGTCAAAACATTGTAATGGAGAGAGGGGACACTAGGAGGTGATTGAAAATATCCTAAAAGTCCATTGCTGAGGCTGGTTAATAAGCTAGGTGCGTCCATACTGTGAATGCAAAGCAGCTTCTCAAAAGAATGAGGTGGATCTGTAGGCGCAGACCTGGTACAATGTTCATTATTTATCGTTGCAGAGAAAACACAAATTGAAGAATAATAGTCTGTGATCTCAGTTTTGGAAATAAGGAGCTCTGGTAGTGTAGTGCCTAAGGCACTTGACTGCTAACCAGAAGGCTGGCGGTTCAAACCCACCAGCCACTCCTCAGAAGGCAGGTTGGGCAATCTACTTCCGTAGTGATACCGCCTCAGAAACCCAAGGAGGGGTCACTACGAGTGACTCAACGGCACATAACAACAACATTGCATTTTACATATTTTTTTTCGTTTGCAAATGTATAGAAATGATCTAGAAAGCTATGTACCAAGCCAGTAGTCACCACTGGGAGTGAGATGTGGGGATGGACGTGGCCACTTATAAGGGGAGCTTTTTACTTCATATCCTTTGTCATTATTTGTATTTTTTAAGGAGCTCTGGTAGTGTAGTGGTTAAGGCATTTGGCTGCTAACCAAAAGGTTGGTGGTTTGAACTCACCAGCTGTTCCATGGAAAAAAGATAAGACAATCTGCTTCCATAAAGATTTACAGCCTTGGAAATCCAGTAGGGGTCGCTATGAGTTAGACTAGACTCAATGGCAGTGAGTTTGGTGTTTTGGGTTTATCCTTTATCATTGCATTGTTTACAGTGAGGAAGCATTGCTTTTGTAAATTTAAAAGAGGACAGATATTGTACAATGACTATGTAGGATAGGCAAGTGTATTGAGACCAAAGTTCATTAGTGGTTACCAGGGGCAGGTAGG